GGGGTGTTTCTTGGTTTTTTTAAATCAGATTTATCAATTTTTCCTTTACTTTTTCCCCAGGCATGTTTTGGGCTAATGTGTCTGCAGCTCAGCACTTCTTTCACTCTTTCTGAACATCAGCACATGAACAAGTTTCTCCTAGGTTACAGGGTTTTTTCCGGAACTCTGAAATTAATAAAAATTATCAATGGGCTAGAGATTTCATCTGCTGCTCTTCCAAGATTCATGTGCAAATTATTCAGGTTTAATAACTAATTAAAAAAAATTATATCCCTAGTCAGCATTGCCCAACACCCCTCCCACAATACTAATATTGTATTGTGAGGGATGAGAAACAAGGCCAAAAATTTTCACCATCCTTAGCCCTTAGTCCACTCTTAGCATATACTGCAGAACTAAGAGGACAGGTTTAAAAAAGATGCCAGGTTTTGATGTTTGTAACTGATACAGAAAACCTAGGAATTTTAGAGTTTCTTTTAATTTTCTCAAAAGACACAGCTGTCACATGGTAAGGATAGAGTTTTCACATCTATTCTATGACACATTCACACATTTTTAGGGATAACACTGACGCACCACTCTACAAGAGAAGACAAAAGGGACAACTTCTGAGACAGTCCCTTACTCTTCTGAAAATAAACTTGAAATAATTAATATTCCTAGAAAAGATGAAAGACTTCTTGAAAACTAAGTCTTCCTTTCCATGTTTCTTGCTACCTCATTTGTTTTCTGAACTGCTTAGGCTTTAATACTATAACTGAAAAACTTCAAATCACAAATGTGATTTTCACACACGATGATCACAAATGCCTTGCATTTTGCAGACGTGAAGACACGTCTTGCCTGACAAAGAATGAGAACCAAAATTGTAGTACTTTAGACAACACATCATGATGAAATAATAGGAATGAAGCAACTAAGTGCTAACGTTAGCATACTAGTAGCTCCTTTTTTAATATTATGAACATGAAGTGGACTAAGTGGAACAATTATGCAGATTTCAAACAAAAAGCACAAAGAGTCTACAGCTGATAAGCTTCAGGACTTAATCACAAAAAAGTCTTGTGATAATATGGCTTTAAATCCCTATACAATAGTAGGGGGAAGTATGCCGTTAACACCCATCAGCATTGAGCAGTGGGGAACTGTAATTCACAAATACTTAATTTGGGATAAAACTTAATTTTCTTATCTATATATTGTCCACTCAGCAAAATAAATTAATATTTCTTCATTCAACTTTATTTTAAAATAAGCTTATCTAAATATATATATTTTAAACAGGAATTATGAGCAAGAAACACAGTAAGAAATACTGCATGCATACAGCAAAGTATTACTTTGAACACTCAGTTTTTTAAGACAACACAGTAACTCTGAAAAGGGTAAATAATCAATCAGTCAATCCAACAAGGTACACTTACATCTTCATTCCAGTCTTCTGCTGTCCATTCTTCTATTGAGTTTTTCCATGCTCCTATTGCAATTTGGGGAAGGAAAGAGAAGAGTTACAAGCTAAAAGCACAACGTCATATTTCAATGCCTCGGCTTTATAAGTAATCCTGTTTTCATTATTAGTGGAACACAAAGCGAGGAGATGGTGGTTGGAAACATGGGAAGCTAAAGAAAATTGGTCTGCAGATTTAAAATTTTGGGACGGTGGTTTTTTTCCCCTTTAATTTCTGATTTCAACAGTTTCTTAGCCACTATGGTACCAGAATGCATGTCTGCAACCAGTGATTAATCCCAAACATTGGAAGAACTTCCTCCTATGTCCCCAATGACAGTGAGTTACTCAACCCTCCCACAAGATCTCCTAGTTTCATACACAAATTCACACAGAGCCTGAACAAAACACAACCACAACACCTGCTACAACATCCATAACCCTACTTTCAAAATATTCGAATTCCAGACCCAAACTACGTGTCTGGAGGCTCCTTTCCAACCTGCTAAATCTCTCCTCAGGGCAGAAAACAATCCCAGTGCCTTCCCCTGATAGCGCAATTTTATTTTAAAACATATAATTCATATAATGGCAACAAAAGAGTCAATAAGCTTCTACTGTACCTGCAAAACACTTCTTCCCCTAGCTAGTGGCAGAGTTTATTTGGTGAACACTGGAGCACAGTGCGCAGTTCACAGCATGCAGCAATGGGAAAACTACAGGAAATGATCCTACAGATGCAAAAACTTGATCCTTTCCATAGGAAACAGCAGGCACAGACATGCAAGAGCAATAAATGGACTGAAGGCCTTGTCCACCAGCATAAGCATAGGGAAGGTTATCCCAGCAACAACCAGAACTTTCATTTAAACTACATAACCATAAGTGAAGAAAACATCAGCAGTAAAATTCCTGCGACTATCACCTTTGATCAAGTACAAAACCAAAAGAACTATGCTGCTTTAATCATCTCCTTTTACTTATCCAGGAACCTTATGAGACACATTCATCCAGAAACAAGCCCCCTGGAGAGGGCATCAAATCCAGTTTGTGCTAATGCAATCACTAAATGAGTGCATTCTTTTGTACACCTTTACAGAGCAGCATCTTGGACAGAGGAGAGTCAAATGGCACTGATCCAGTGAGGCGAACAGGCCTAGCATGAAGATATACACACAATGGGGAGAAGAGAGAGGGTCTACACCTTGGAATCCAAAATTATTTGGCAAGTCCTGGGCAAGGTAATATCTGCTCTGTGGAGCAATACAGAGTTGCCTGAAACATCTCCTGCACACATTTTACCAAACAGCCCCTAACCAGGAGGTTCTACATGCTGCAAAATATCAAGGCACTTGAAAAATAACTAATAACCATATCTGAGCACAGCAAAATTACTACAATGCCTCAAATTTCAAGACTAATCCACACATTTCCACAGGAATTTTGGAAAGAAAGAGGAGCCCAATGAGGAACAGTTGATTTTCTTTCCTTTCTCCTGGCTAACACAGGATCCCTTCCTCTGATATTTCTTTTTTTAAAGAAATGCATTCTGATATTTGTCCTGCTTATATTTATCTCCTACCAGTCAGAGAAAGGCCTGCCTCTGTAGAAGATAAACCTTGTGTTGGTGCCAAAACTCAAACAATGGAGCTTGGAGTCTGCTAAAACAAACACCAAAAGATCTCAGACAAATCAAGCCCAACTCTTGAGTATCCCTCACTACTTTGGGGAGATGGAACCTGTTCAAATAATACTTGGGATGTTTTCCTGAAATTTAATTTATACATTTATCTGTTGCTCCTAGTTATGATCATGGTTCTGTGCATTTACTCTTTTTGCATACTGAACCACATTTCACCTTTTTTATTAGTTTACCCAAGCTGCCAAGTTGTTTATTGTCGCTTATTAACACCCTACCTTCCCAAATCAATCCTTCCAGCCTCAGTTATTTCACTGCTCTTCTTTGCATTAAATTCAGTTTGCTAACGCTTTTCTCATATTGATGGGATTCTAAGCCTGATCTTGCCACAAGTGTATCGGTCTCCTTTTAGTCCAACATCCACCTTGGTATTATTGCAACTCCATATCTTCTTTCTAACATTCACCCCTGTGCCTTGCAATGCATCAAAATTTAAGAGGTCTCCGTTTTCCACCAAAAATATGCTTTGTTTTTTCAAGGATGCTTGTCATAGCAACTTCAACCTAGATAGCTATCTGTGACTCTTTCCTGTTTCCCTTTGTAACACACTTAGGTTTAGAAAGTTGTAAAGCCAATAAAAAGTATGCTATATATATTTGCTATTTTCCTCCAATTCCTCGCTTCCTGTCACATTGATTTCACCCCCCCCCCTTCTTTGAATAGACATAGATATTAGTCCTCAAATAATTTTATTTTGGTCTATTCCAAACTTATGTACTAATCCTTCCCTCTGGATTACATTCACAATCTAGAAGGACTTGATATTTTCCTTAAAATATTCTACTCACTTTTACAGCAGTCCTAAAATAAATAAATAAAACCCCACTTTCTTCTAACTTCCAAGCTATAGTGTAACTGTCAAGTGGGAAGAAAGTATAATTTATTTTTTCTTTGCTGTTGTTCTTCAGTTTGAGAGTCACTTAAGGCTGTTTACAACCAAGATAATACTGAATGACGTTTTTCTGTGAAACTTATGAAACACTATCAAAGTAGAGGTATCGGTAAATTACCATTTTTATAACCTACTTTGAGAAGTGACCACCTCCAACATGAGTTAGTTATAAGAACTGCTATGATTTGTCATTCAGGATCTCCCACTGCCTTGTACATTACAGAAAACAGTAAGAGATTGAACACTCAGCATGCCTGTAAGAAAATACCAATCATGCTGTTTAAATCTATTCCCTTTTGATAAGGATTGGTCATTGTTTCCTCCCACCCGTCCCTTCTCTTTGCCTTTCAGTTGTACATTACTTCTATAAAAATTAGGATGCAGGAAAACCAATGCTTAATTATTTGGAACACAGTTACACTTAAATGTTAGGAACTGTCAAAGATTCACCCTTTACTGTTTTTATTTCAACCAGCAATGTTAATTTTCACCTCCACAGAACCAGCTACCTTTTCTATAGGATTACACAATGGTGCACCTAGAAAAAAACTTGCAGCCAGTCAGGCTACTGCGATTCCTCTGACATCTGCAACAACTCAGGACAAGAGGTTCTAGAGTGCTTTCAGAGGGGGCAACTACATTTTGGAAACAAATAATGCATTTCTTTTTGACCAAAAATGTTGACATTGATCCTTTCCCAGCACTAGCTTAAAGAGAGTTTCTATTTGCATGATGTCTTCAGAAGACATTTTGGTACACAAAACTGGTTTTGTTTCTCCAGGTAGTTACCCAGTTATCTCCTTTTTAATGTAACTGCAGATGAAAGACACTAATTTTCCAAGTAGCTAGTATGAGCTAATTTTGTTTTCTTTCTTTTTAGATGAAAGAAGAAATGGAACTGGGTAATGAGGAATAGAGAGAGGGATTTCCATTCTGTCCTCCTTCTGTGCATGCTCTTATCTGCCATCTTTCACTAGCCCACTGCAGGCTTTGTGGATTTCCATACGTATGCATCACCCTCATTCACATCTTCAGTAACGCCACACTGGTAACTTATTTATTACTGGGACTGTCTATTTGTAACTAATGTAACAGCACTGTAAATTAAGGGGGGGGGGGGAATATTTAAAAACTAATATTTGTAATTAACAAGCGAAATCAACAGGTCAACTTTGTACAACCTGCTTCCATCGCCACACCTTGTCTGCCACCCCATCCACAACCTCTGCTTCCTTCTTCCTTCCCAGCACTCTCTCTTCTGCTTTAAAACTACTACCCTCACTGCAGCCTCCTCTAATAACTCTCAAGATACTTTCAACCACAAGGTTGAAAGTGCTTCCCACTTGGGCAAAACAAAATGATTCAGTCTTTAAAAAAAGAGATCATGGGGACTTATTTTTGACATCCCTACGGCTTGTCTAAAGAAGAAAGACTATAAAATTAAACACCCTTCCAATAGTCATAGAGAGAGAGACATTTTTGGTTTGTCAGTTATGGTGCTTTTTCCATTTGCACTGGAAGTAAATTAAGATTAGCAGCAAAAAGGTAGTTTGCACACAAAAAGAACATCCACACTTAACTAGTTTACTTTAAATCTCCACCAACCAAATTACTTTGCAGGAACTCCCCACACTGACATTCACTCATTCATACCCTTAAGAACCATTAATCTGATGAGGCCAGGGTAAATTCCCAAACTCCTTCTCTCACCTTCTTCTCCATACAATGCTCCCCAACTTTCCATATATGACTTAAGTTGCATTCCTGAAGTTCAGTGCAATTCTCAGTGACATGTGCACAGTCTAACCTGCAAAAACGCACTTGGCATCCACAAAGAAGCTCAACATGTCAACTGGTATGCTTTGGCTTTCCAACAATATGTTTGCTCAGAAGTAAACCCTCAGGTAGACAGACATGTTTGTACTCTTATGGGGATCTGTTTAGCCACGCCTTACTAAGCTACTCTTATTCCTAGGTAGAACTCTTCCATTACTGAAGATTGAGGAGATGCTTGCAAGAAGGAGCAATGGTTGCCATAAGAGCGGCACATGAAGGCTACCCTGAGTTAGCAGGGAGGATCACAAAAATGTTTGAGCTCACTTGGGAAATGGAACACAAGTCAAAGTCATTCATTACGGTTGCATTCATTAATAACTAACCAGTGAATTTTCTACCTCTGGTAGATTTTCCTCATGCCTTTCTTGCATGTCTTCTTTAATAAGTTAACCTTACTGCTGCTGCAATAGTTGTGACAACATACCCTGCCTTTTGCTACCATATAGTAAACAACAGTATTCCTAGGGGAATTGTTAAGTAATTAGGTGTCCTTCTAATTCATTATCTGATAAACTTATCTGAAAAACTAACATAAGTGAAGGTAAAAGATGCATTTCTGTTAGCGCTATAGCACCAAGTAACTTCAAAAGTAATTCCTTGGAAAGATGCCGTATTTGGCAGAAGAGCTCCCTTTCAACAACCATTAATATACTCTGTGCCACTCTCCCACACTGGACTAAAAGGCACTCAGAGTGACAAAACGGCTGCCTGATAAGCTCTCGTATACCCTGAGCCTGTTATTGTCTCCTCTGGTTAAGTACAAAATGGCTTGTATGAAGTTTAGAAACCTGCATCTCAAGAGGCTCGCAGAAGAGCTCAGCAGAGCACACTCTGGTCTCCAGTATCAGTCTCTTCCTTCCACCCTTGACACAGGGTTTGATGAAAAATCATCTGAATAGGCTTCAGCAATGAAGACATCAGAACAGTTACCCTTTGCTGAGGTTAAAAAAAAAATATCTCCTATCACTCCGTGGTTTCCAAATGTGGACAATAACGTACGTTAATTTCTCCATCCTGATACAGGGTTTCCCTTTGTCTTCATCTCCTGTCACGGAATATGGGAAGCAGTAAGGTATCCTGTTTTCCCAATCACAGACAAGCAGGTCACATTCTTCATTTCTGAATCACCATGACATTGCTGTCAAGTGGTTCCTTTCCAACTACGTCTGTCTCTCACCTTTAGCCAGGAGTGCATACTTCACACTTGAAACTTCATACAGAAACACACAGCTGCCTCTACCTTCAGACAGGCACACCGCTCTTTTGGCTTCCATTCAAGTGTCTACTTGTGCTTCAGTTAACAAATCTTCTTTTCAAACGTGGTAGATCTTGGAACTCTCCTCCATCCCAGAGACTCAAATCTTTACATTCCTGCATTGTACAGGTGTGGCTCCCAAAGCCATCCCAGTGACACTGAGTGGATTCATATTTGTAAACAGTTTTTATTTTATTTTTCTTCTTGTACTTAGATATTCAAACCCTACTGCCCAATGCCTGTAGACCAATCACTTTAAGTATGACTTATGCTCCTTAACGACATCAGGTGAGCTCTTAAGCAGTACTTAAGATATCTCAACAGTTCTTCACAAGGTTCTTCCAATAACTCTTCAAATCCCTTCGTCTCTCAAAGAATTGTCAGTAATAAAACAAACAAAAAATTGCAAATTGCCTTCCTTTCATTCTAACCAGATAGACATTCAGGCTACAGCATGTGCTCTGCACATTAGTAGCAGCTAAGCTATAGAAATGAACTAATAACTGTGTCATGTGAGATGCATTCACATTTTCAGAAGTTAACTGAACACTAACAGAATGGTTATTTTAACTGTAATTTGCTACAGGTCTTCATTCGAATCCTTCTACTTCTTGAAGCATCTTACCAGTTCCATCATCTGCATCATTCTGACCAGTCTCCCAAATCTCTGATTTTGTCCCAAAGCCATCAGTGGCAGAAGACTCCGTATAGTCTGCAGGGTTAAATGTCCTAGAGTTTTAAAAGTTAAGAAATGGAAGAGAACACATTGGTCATTCAGTGAACACAAGTGTCATCATTTATAGCTGAAGTTGTATTAGGTTTAACATCTCAATTTCCACATAATTTATCCTGATAGTTTGGTCTCAAAAGTTTTTCCTCTATGAGCAGACACAGATGAAAAAGGGAGAAGAGCGAAAAGAGGAAAGATTGAGTAGACTGGAAA